TATTAGTGTTAGCATTAGGGATAGCGTCAGTATTGGTGTTCGAGTTAGTATTGGTGTTAGTGTCAGTATTAGTGTTAGGGTTAGTGTCAGTATTAGTGTTAGCATTAGGGATAGTGTCAGTATTGGTGTTAGCGTTAGTATTAGTGTTAGTGTCAGTATTAGTGTTAGGGTTAGTGTCAGTATTAGTGTTAGCATTAGGGATAGTGTCAGTATTGGTGTTAGCGTTAGTATTAGTGTTAGTGTCAGTATTAGTGTTAGCATTAGGGATAGTGTCAGTATTGGTGTTAGCGTTAGTATTAGTGTTAGTGTCAGTATTAGTGTTAGGGTTAGTGTCAGTATTATTGTTAGCATTAGGGATAGTGTCAGTATTGGTGTTAGCGTTAGTATTAGTGTTAGTGTTAGTATTAGTGTTAGGGTTAGCATTAGGGATAGTGTCAGTATTGGTGTTAGCATTAGCATTAGTGTTAGTGTCAGTATTAGTGTTAGGGTTGGCATTAAGGATAGTGTCAGTATTGGTGTTAGCATTAGTATTAGTGTTAGTGTCAGTATTAGTGTTAGGGTTAGCATTTGGGATAGTGTCAGTATTGTTGTTAGTGTCAGTGTTAGGGTTAGTTTCAGTATCAGTGTTAGTGTCAGTATTAGTGTTAGAGTTAGTGTCGGTGTTAGCATTCAGTACTAGTGTTAGCATTAGGGATAGTGTCAGTATTGGTGTTAGCGTTAGTATTAGTGTTAGTGTCAGTATTAGTGTTAGGGTTAGTGTCAGTGTTAGTATTAGTGTTAGTGTCAGTATTAGTGTTAGGGTTAGTGTCAGTGTTAGCATTCAGTAATAGTGTTAAGGTTAGTGTCAGTATTAGTATTAGGCTTAGTGTTTGTATTAGTGTTATGGTTAGTGTCAGTATTGGTGTTAGCGTTAGTATTAGTGTTAGTGTCAATATTAGTGTTAGCATTAGCATTAGTGTTAGTGTCAGTATTAGTGTTAGGGTTAGCATTAAGGATAGTGTCAGTATTGGTGTTAGAGTTAGTATTAGTGTTAGTGTCAGTATTAGTGTTAGGGTTAGCATTAGGGATAGTGTCCGTATTGTTGTTAGTGTCAGTGTTAGGGTTAGTTTCAGTATCAGTATTAGTGTTAGAGTTAGTGTCGGTGTTAGCATTCAGTATTAGTGTTAAGGTTAGTGTTTGTATTAGTGTTATGGTTAGTGTCAGTATTAGTGTTAGGGTTAGTGTCAGTGTTAGCATTCAGTATTAGTGTTAAGGTTAGTGTCAGTATTAGTATTAGGGTTAGTGTTTGTATTAGTGTTATGGTTAGTGTCAGTATTGGTGTTAGCGTTAGTATTAGTGTTAGTGTCAGTATTAGTGTTAGCATTAGGGATAGTGTCAGTATTGGTGTTAGTATTAGTGTTAGTGTCATGACCGGTGTATAGTCGCCATATGGGCAGTCGGAACCTAGGACAAAACCCCCACATACCTAACCCAATAACACACTGACACTAGGGTATATGGGTAAAATTGTCCACAGCTTTTATTAACCATTATAATAATAAAGATAATAAGTTTATTAGTAATAACAATTATAATAATATAATAATAATTTAACATATAAACATGGGTCATTGCCCCCATACTCCGCCCTCGCATCCGCATCCTTCTTTTAATATGACGGGCAATGACCCCAACATACTAACACATATATATCTCTAACAATTTGCAACCTTACTCCAACATAACAATTTAAGTGCCAACCATAAATAACCACAGCAGGGGTACCGGATACCCCTACCCCACCAGGTTCTGAGCCACCTCCAGGACTTGAAACCTACCAACCACCAGTGACCACAATTTCCATGTCTGTGACGTTCCTCATGGGAGCCTATTTCCTCTTCCTTGGTGCTGTGACAAAACGGGATACCCTCATTTAACTCAAAAACCCAGGGAGGGTGGGTGGGACAAACTCAATCAGGTAGGAAATTAAATGTGCTCTATCCAAAATGGCTACCTCCTTAAGTAGACCAACCCCTTACTCCCACAACCCACCAGTCCTGGCCGGCTCCTCCTAAGCCCGCCTCCTAACCCCTGTCAAGGCCCTCCTCCGCTAAGCTGTGCTTTGGCTCCTTGGGGCTACAGTATTAGTGTTAGGGTTAGCATTAGGGATAGTGTCAGTATTGTTGTTAGTGTCAGTGTTAGGGTTAGTTTCAGTATCAGTGTTAGTGTCAGTATTAGTGTTAGAGTTAGTGTCAGTGTTAGCATTCAGTATTAGTGTTAAGGTTAGTGTTAGTATTAGTGTTATGGTTAGTGTCAGTATTGGTGTTTGGGTTAGTATTAGTGTCAGGGTTAGTGTCAATATTGGTGTTAGTCTTAGTGTCAGTGTTAGCATTAGGGTTAGTGTCAGTATTGGTGTTAGTGTCAGTATTAGTATTAGGGATAGTGTCAGTATTGGTGTTAGTGTCAGTATTAGTGTTAGGGTTAGTGTCAGTATTGTTCACTGGAGTACATACCGCCCTGTGATCCGGGTATGTACGCCAGTCTGGAGCTGGCCACCTCAGGGCCCCCCCAACGCTGGCAGTGGTGTCACCAGGTAGGCAGGCACGCAATGGAGCAATCTCCCCTGAACGCTCTCTGCCCAGCTCCCTCGCGCGCACCGCAGTGATGCCGGAGCCGGAATATGACGTGTGTGTTAGAGTTAGTGTCAGTGTTAGCATTAGGAATAGTGTCATTAATTGTGTTAGAGTTAGTGTCAGTGTTATTGTTATAGTTAGTGTCAGTGTTAGGATTAGGGTTAGGGTCAGTATTAGTGTTAGAGTTAGTGTCAGTATTAGTGTTAGTGTTAGGGTCAGTATTAGTGTTATAGTTAGTGTGGCAAACCTAGTCACTTGGACTATAACCAGAGACTATATCTTTAAGGGTTGCCTATAGGTCTGGGGAGATATGTACTTTACTCTGTATGTTGTATGCTACATGTATTGTCTGAATTGCCTGTATTTGCCATCTGCCGAATGCAAATGGCGGTTTGTATGGGGATTTTCTTTCGTTTCACGAACGGCACTTTGGAGGGCCGTTCGTGAACCGAACGCAATACCCCTAATAGCCCACACACTTAGAGGCGTGTGGCGCTGGTTAACCGATTGCAACAATGTTGCAATCGGTAATTAGAGGCTCTCCTGGGTGGCCGTCGTTCGACTACCGACCATGCGGCGGTCGGCCATCTTGGATCCTTTGTTCCCTCAGCGGTGCTAGGTCGTCGAGTGCATGGTACTAAAAATGGCCACTCGACAGCACGAACACCGCTGAGCCTCCAGGACGTTCGGGAGTTTCGGGCCATTCGGTATTTTGTTCCCTAAAAGCAATCGGTTCTTTTTATATGTTTTATAAGAAATGTGTTTTTCGTGCGGCGTTTGGTTATTTTAGCTGGGATCTGAGCGGTAATCTCACGAATGATGCGCTCAGACCCCAGCTATCTACCGAACGTCCATTCGTGTAAATCCACCGCATATTCACCAAGTTATGGATTTTTGTGTGAATTGTCGGTTCTGCTGCACGAGGGGATAATCCACTTAACGGTGGGTTCTGGGAAGAGGACCCCTCTCGTGCAGCAGTGCCTGATGGGAGAAATATGCTGTAATGTAAGTCCCCCATGTAGTCCCCTCTGGGAGTGCCCCTGGGAAGGGACTCAGGAAACCCCTTGCATGGGGACTTGTATAAATTGTGCAGCCGAATTAAAGGATTTCAGTTGACTCTCAGAACTGTGTCTCGTCCGGTTACTGGGAGGTTGGGGATATTGCCTTGTTGTTTCAGCGCTTGACTGTGGATTATTTCCTGAACCAGCGGAATTCGTGGATTTAATATTGGCGTTCCGCTACAATTGGTGGCAAGCGACGGGATCCAACTCTACAGCCGAATACAGCTCATTCGAATGAAAGGAACAACCGAACGGAAAAAGGGAAAGGCAATTCATATGAAACAAACAGACGAAAGCGATCAGTGAATGGGGACGGATTACACGGCGTTAAAGAGGCAGATGCTAAAGGAACTGCTGGAGGCTAGAGGGAAAAGCGCTAGCAACAAATCTAAAGCAGTACTCATTGCAGAGCTGATGGAAGGCGACCAAGCACACAGCAGTCCACCCCCACCGGCCAGGGAGGAAACACCGTATCAGAGGGAACTGAGAACCCGGTTGGAATTTGTACCACAGCCAGTACCCCTGGACATATTGACCGTACTGATGGCAGACGTCCAGGACTACATTATGGCACAGCAACCTCCGGGGGCACCCTCCAGGGCAGAATCCATCACCAACTCATTCTGCACTCCAATAAAGCAGAAAATACCTTACCAGGCATTTAAAGCGTTCTGCGAGGAGAAGGATGAGATAGACGGATACCTGCAGGATTTCGAGCGGTTATGCGACCTACACGACCTGGAGCAGGCGATGTGGGTACCCCTACTGGCAGGCAAGTTGGCAGGACGAGCAGCAGAGGCTTATCGCGCTGTGCCCAGAGAGGACAGCAAGGACTATTTTAAAGTGAAAAGGGCAATTCTGGAAAGGTATGCCATAACCCCGGAGGCATACCGGCGAAAATTTCGGGGATTGAAAAAGCCCGAAAGAGATTCCCACGCAGAGTGGGCGCATAAGCTTGACCAAGCTTCACAAGGGTGGATTCAGGCAAGCCAAGCCACCACCATAGAAGGACTGCGCCAACTCATCCTGCTGGAGCAGTTCTTTAACGGCCTGTCACCGGAGGCACAGGAGTGGGTAAGGGACAGAAAACCTCTCACCCTCACAGCAGCCGCCCGATTGGCAGATTAACATTTTTATGCCCGGAGGCACCATGGGCTCACCAACAGGGGTTCCCTGAGACCGCCATTACAACACCACCCGACCATCTCCACACCTGCCAACCCTACCCCACTCAGGCCAGCACCCGGAAACCCCCCACCACCATCCCGCTACAATGGCAGAGCCAACATACAATGCCATACCTGCCGGCAGTGGGGACATATGTCCCGGGAGTGCACCCAGAATCGGAGTAGGCAGGCGTGGAACCAGGTACGGCAGAACTCCGCCCCAAGGGCGGCGGCCCATTTCTACCACACGGAACCTGACCACTCGGAGCTGGCAAGTCTGCAAACCGAGGAACCGTTGGGGGTCCTATATGAAGTGATGTCTGTGCAAGCCACGGACAACAGGCAGCATCACCGCCAAGTTGTGTTTGTGGGGGGGAAAGAGGTACAGGGGCTGAGGGACTCGGGAGCCACCTTGACCTTAGTGGCACCACATTTAGTTCCAGATGCGGCCCACACTGGCGGATCAGTGGCTGTCCGGGTAGCAGGGGGAGCCATGTACCGGTTACCCACTGCCAAGGTACATTTGAACTGGGGTGCTGGGGAGGGGGTTGTAGAAGTGGCAATAATGAAGAAGTTACCGGCAGATGTTGTTTTGGGGAATGACTTGGGCCAGATGACTTCCGCTTTCCTACCCCAGGCCCCTTCACAGGAGGCTCACCCGGTAACTACACGGCAACAGGCTCGCACCACGGCATCACCAGCACACTCTGAGGCTCAGGTAAGAAACCATGACCCCCCCCTTGACAGATATGACCTGGGACACCCCAACCACTTTTGAAGCCGAGGTTCAGACAGACCCCACACTGCAGGTGTACCGAGATAGTGTAGACACGGACCAGGTGGGGCGGGAGGGGGAACGGTACATTTGGGAAAACAAGTTACTGTACCGGGTGGCTGAAAGGGCAATAGGAAACTCTGTGACGCTCCAAACTAAGCAGCTGGTAGTACCCCAGAAGTATAGGCATGAGTTACTGAGAATAGCCCATGACATCCCTCTGTCCGGCCATTTAGGGATGACCCGGACCCGGTATCGCTTAACGCACGCTTTCTTTTGGCCCGGGATTTCTAAAGATGTAAGACACTATTGTACCTCCTGTGATGTGTGTCAGAGGGTAGGCAAGAGAGGGGATCGCCACAAGGCGAAACTGTGTCCCCTACCTATAATTGAGGAACCGTTCAGCCGTGTGGCTGTAGATATAGTGGGGCCACTACCAAAACCCAGCCCCTCTGGGAAGCGGTATATACTGACCGTGGTGGACTACGCCACCCGGTACCCCGAGGCGATTGCCTTAACCAATATTCACGCTGAGACCGTGGCCGAAGCCCTGATGAAAATATTCTCCCGAGTAGGGTTCCCACAGGAAATGGTCTCCGATAGGGGGACACAATTCACGGCTGAGGTTACTCAGCAGTTATGGAGGATATGTGGCATTAAGCCAATCATTAACTCAGCCTACCACCCTCAATCCAACGGGTTATGTGAGAGGTTCAACGGTACCCTAAAACAGATGCTTCGGACATTCGGAGAGACCAATAAGGACTGGGAACGATTCCTTCCCCATCTGTTGTTAGCGTACAGAGAGGTACCCCAAGAGTCTACCGGTTTCTCCCCATTTGAACTGTTATTTGGGAGAAGGGTCCGGGGACCGTTGGATCTCATTAGAGAGCATTGGGAGGGAGAGAGTAGCGCAGATGGGACCCCTATTGTACCATACGTGCTGGCGTTCCGAGATCGCCTGGAGGAATTAACCCAGGCAGTGCGCACCAACCTCCAAGCCGCCCAGCAACGACAGTGTCGTTGGTATGACAGAGGGGCCAGAGACCGTAGTTTTCAAGTGGGACAGAAGGTGTTAATCCTCAAACCGGTCCGCACTGATAAACTACAGGCCGTCTGGCAGGGTCCATACCAGGTGGTAGAGCAGAGATGCGATACCACCTGTGTGATCGGCCCATGCTCCGGAGTAGGGAAGAGACGCATGCTCCATGTGAACATGCTCAAACCCTACCACGAGCGAACTGAGGACGTGGCAGCTATTTGCACGCCCGCCTCAGAAGATCAAGAGAACTTGCCTCTTCCAGATCTGTTAGAGCAGGAGGAGCAGAAGGAGCCCTCCCAGGGGGTTCAGCTGGGGGAGCGGCTAAGTCCTCAAGAGCGTACCCAGGTACAAGAACTGATAGCGACAAAGGGTGCCACCTTTTCTAACTTACCTGGGTACACTCCACTAGCCACTCACCGAGTAGAAACCCCGGGACAGCTTCCCATGCGACAGGCCCCATATCGGATTCCTGAATCTGTGCGGGAACATATGAGGAAGGAGATTGAAGAGATGTTGCAGTTGGGGGTTATCGAACACTCCGATAGCCCCTGGGCATCGCCGGTAGTCCTGGTTCCCAAGAAAGACGGTACCACCCGGTTCTGCGTGGACTACCGGAGGTTGAACGACAAAACCGTGTCGGACGCCTACCCGATGCCCCGGATAGACGAACTGCTAGATAGGATGGCCAGAGGTCAGTATCTCACGACAATAGATCTTTGTAAGGGATACTGGCAAATTCCACTAGCCGAGGACGCCATCCCCAAGTCGGCGTTTGTCACCCCGTTTGGCTTGTACCAATTTCGAGTCATGCCATTCGGGATGAAGAACGCCCCCACGACATTCCAGCGGATGGTGGATCAGCTACTGGACGTGCGCATACCTGGATGATATTGCCATCTACAGCCAGACCTGGTCGGATCACCTATAACATATAGGGGCTGTAATGGATCGGATCAGGGATTCAGGGCTTACCTTGAAGCCCAGCAAGTGCCACATAGGGCCTACCCTGAGGACCAAAACCCAAGTCCTTGCCTTTTTAGGTACCGCCGGGTATTATAGAAAATTTGTGCCCAACTACAGTGCCCTGGCCAAACCCCTGACTGACTTGACAAAGAAGAACCTGCCCAGGCAGGTCATCTGGGCCCCAGAGTGTGAACAGGCATTCAACCAACTGAAGACGGCTCTGACCAATGCCCCTGTACTGGCTGCTCCTGATCCAACGAAAACGTTTTCTTGTCCACACAGACGCCTCCATGTTTGGATTGGGAGCAGTACTGAGCCAGGTCGGAGCAGATGGCGGAGAACATCCCGTAGCATATTTGAGTCGGAAATTGTTACCCCGAGAAGTGAGCTACGCCACCATAGAAAAAGAATGCCTGGCGTGGTGTGGGCCCTGAAAAAGTTACAGCCATATCTCTAAGGGCAACCCTTTTCCTTGCTCACAGATCACAACCCGTTGGTATGGCTAAACCGTGTGGCTGGAGACAATGCCAGGCTGCTGCGCTGGAGTTTGGCGCTGCAGCCCTTTGACTTTACGATCCATTATCGCCCAGGGAAACAAAACGGTAACGCCGACGGGTTATCCCGACAAACAGACCTTGAGAAGTGATCTGTGAGCGCTCCTCCGGACATCCCCAAGCCGATCCGTTAGGATCAGACTGTGTATGCCGGCTTGGTTCTGGGGGAGCATTGTGGCAAACCTAGCCACTTGGACTATAACCAGAGACTATATCTTTAAGGGTTGCCTATAGGTCTGGGGAGATATGTACTTTACTCTGTATGTTGTATGCTACATGTATTGTCTGAATTGCCTGTATTTGCCATCTGCCGAATGCAAATGGCGGTTTGTATGGGGATTTTCTTTTGTTTCACGAACGGCACTTTGGAGGGCCGTTCGTGAACCGAACGCAATACCCCTAATAGCCCACACACTTAGAGGTGTGTGGCGCTGGTTAACCGATTGCAACAATGTTGCAATCGGTAATTAGAGGCTCTCCTGGGTGGCCGTCGTTCGACTACCGACCATGCGGCGGTCGGCCATCTTGGATCCTTTGTTCCCTCAGCGGTGCTAGGTCGTCGAGCGCATGGTACTAAAAACGGCCACTCGACGGCACGAACACCGCTGAGCCTCCAGGACGTTCGGGAGTTTCGGGCCATTTGGTATTTTGTTCCCTAAAAGCAATCGGTTCTTTTTATATGTTTTATAAGAAATGTGGTTTTCGCGCGGCGTTCGGTTATTTTAGCTGGGATCTGAGCGGTAATCTCTCGAATGATGCGCTCAGACCCCAGCTATCTACCGAACGTCCATTCTTGTAAATCCACCGTACATTCACCAAGTTATGGATTTTTGTGTAAATTGTCGGTTCTGCTGCACGAGGGGATAATCCACTTAACGGTGGGTTCTGGGAGGAGGACCCCTCTCGTGCAGCAGTGCCTGATGGGAGTAATATGCTATAATGTAAGTCCCCCATGTAGTCCCCTCTGGGAGTGCCCCTGGGAAGGGACTCAGGAAACCCCTTGCATGGGGACTTGTATAAATTGTGCAGCCGAATTAAAGGATTTCAGTTGACTCTCAGAACTGTGTCTCGTCCGGTTACTGGGAGGTTGGGGATATTGCCTTGTTGTTTCAGCGCTTGACTGTGGATTATTTCCTGAACCAGCGGAATTCGTGGATTTAATATTGGCGTTCCGCTACAGTTAGTGTCAGTGTTAGCATTAGGGTTAGGGTCAGTATTAGTGTTAGAGTTAGTGTCAGTATTAGTGTTATAGTTAGTGTCAGCGTTAGCATTAGGGTTTGGGTCAGTATTAGTGTTAGAGTTAGTGTCAGTATTAGTGTTAGTGTTAGGGTTAGTGTCAGTATTAGTGTTAGAGTTAGTGTCAGTATTAGTGTTATAGTTAGTGTCAGTGTTAGCATTAGGGTTAGGGTTAGTGTCAGTGTTAGCATTAGGGTTAGTGTCAGTATTAGTGTTAATGTTAGGGTTAGTGTCAGTATTAGTGTTAGTGTTAGGGTTAGTGTTAGGATTAGGGTTAGTGTCAGTATTGGTGTTAGAGTTAGTGTCAGTGTTAGTGTTAGAGTTAGTGTCAGTGTTAGCATTAGGGTTAGGGTCAGTATTAGTGTTAGAGTTAGTGTCAGTATTAGAGTTAGTGTCAGTGTTAGGGTTAGTGTCAGTGTTAGTGTTAGAGTTAGTGTCAGTATTAGTGTTAGAGTTAGCATCAGTGTTAGTGTTAGAGTTAGTGTCAGTATTAGTGTTAGAGTTAGCATCAGTGTTAGTGTTAGAGTTAGTGTCAGTATTAGTGTTAGAGTTAGTGTCAGTGTTAGAGTTAGTGTCAGTGTTAGCATTTGGGTTAGGGTCAGTATTAGTGTTAGAGTTAGTGTCAGTATTAGTGTTAATGTTAGAGTTAGTGTCAGTGTTAGCATTATGGTTAGGGTCAGTATTAGTGTTAGAGTTAGTGTCAGTATTAGTGTTAGAGTTAGTGTCAGTGTTAGAGTTAGTGTCAGTGTTAGCATTAGGGTTAGGGTCAGTATTAGTGTTAGAGTTAGTGTCAGTATTAGTGTTAGGGTTAGTGTCAGT